ATCTCACTAATCCAAAATTCAAATGCCACAAAACTTATATTTAAAGTTTAGAAACATGAAAATATATATTTTTAAAAATTTTTAGCCAAAATCTTATCAAATTACAAAAGATATAGCTTATAATACAACCACTAGCAATTCAAATAACTTACTACTGCTTAGATTCCAAGTGCTGACTTTAACTTTTAATATCTTCTTTGTTCTAGCTTAGAATTCATCAAACAGCATACATTAAGTATAGCCAAGAAAGTATTCTCTTCAATCCCAATCGCCAATCCTCTGTTTCTTTTTGCATGTGTGCATTATATCCAAAAGAATAATACTAGGTATAAAATCAACACCTTGATTTTGAGTGCCTATATCTCCTTCATAAAAACTCCAAATGGCTCAATTTTTTTACCAAAACCATAATCAAAAATTTAAACTTGCCGACTTTAGCCTCCAATATTTGAATCCTTCCAAAAGACTAACCTTAATCCCTAATAGGGCCTCGAGCAGCCTCCTTAAAGTCCATTAGGCATGATTTTTGACCGATAGGAATAGAGATTTATATCATCCATCTCCATTCATCCACATAGATGCCTTAACTATTCTTTTTGCTACCAAAACTCTTCTTCAATATTTTTTTCAACATTATTTTATAATCACATTATTTTCACATAGTAGCCAAACCACAATACGACAATAGCTTGCTAGATGACATTATGTTGGATCTTGGGCTACAATTTGTATCAAGATTTTAGAAGGCACTTTTCAAGATTCTTAAGCTTGACATCAATCTTTCTTCTACCTTCCACCCTCAAATTGATGGCCAAATGAAACGGGTCAACCAAATTCTTGAACAATATTTGAGGTGCACCATCAACTATCAACAAGACAATTGGATTTTCTACTTGTTATAATGTGGAGTTTGCATATAACAATACAATCCATGTATCTACGCAAAAAATGCCATTCTATTCAAACTACAATCATCATCCAAAGTTGGATATGATAGAACCTTTAAAGTTGGCAAATCCAACACCAAAGGAATTTGCTACACAGATGGCCAAACTTCAAGCAACCATAAAGACACATCTAAAAAAGATTCAACAATATTATAAGCTACTAGTAGAAGAATTGAAGAAGGAACATCCTCTATTCAAAGTTGATGATAAAATGTGGTTTCTTTGGCACAATATTAAAACCAACAAACTATGTGATAAATTGGACTATCAAAGGTTGGGACCATTTGTGATTCAGAAGCAAATTAATAAGGTAACTTATTGCTTGGAGTTAACTTCATCTATGAAGATTCATCTAATCTTACATGTTTTGCTTTTGAAAAGGTATAAAGAATTGAACATACTAAGTCAAAGACAACTACCACCTTCTAAGGTTGAAATCAATGATCATGTTTAATTTGAGATAAAAGGTGTATTAGATTCAAAGATAAGATATGAAAGGCTTGAATATCTAGTCCATTGGCGTGGATATGATATCAATGATTCTATGTGGGAACCAGCTGATAACCTTGTACATGCACAAATAAAGATTCAAAAGTTCCATCAACGACATCTATCCAAACCAAAAGTTATAAAAAATAAAGAACAATAGCTTGTCAAAAGATAGATGGCCTACTGATCATACCATCTCAACCAAGTAGCTCATAGAGACGACCTTGAGATGAAGAGCTACTTGAACCACAAAGAAGTCAAAGGATACCTAGTAATAGGTTGTTGGTAATTTTGTTTGAGGTAGAACCTACCTATGAAGGATGTCTAGAAAGAATGTTTACATGACAATTCCATAATAAAGATACCGAAGTTCATGCTTGGTTTGAAGTAGAAGGCTTTGGATACTATTGATGGATATAGGGGCCTATAAACCATTTGTATCACAAAAAATAATTAGAATATATAGTAGATACTATACGACAGATCTTCAATTTCTTGTGCATATACTAACTTATAGCAACATTACTTCTCGGAGACCTCAAAATTAGAAGAGGAAGTGATGTCAGGGACATACAACTAAAGAAAGTTCCAAAAAGTTCTAAGAGGTTCTAGAAGGTTCTATGAAGGTTCTTGTAGATCCTAAAAGATTTTAAAAGGTTCCAATAGATTCTAAGAAAGTTTTAGAAGGTCATAGGAGATTCTAGAAGATTTTAAGAGGCTTTAGATGATTTAGGAAGTTGTCGAAGAATGATCTTAGACTTGCTTTGTTTCCAAGCTTCATAGAAACTCCTCTAGAAGCTTTCTAGGACCTATTATATATAGGAGTCGAGGTTGAGGGGATCCTTAGTCTTGACAACTCACTTCTTATAGTTTAGCCAAAACCTTCTTGCCTTGTATTCAATTATTGTTCTAATATTGAGTTAATTCTATTTCTTGGTCTTGAATCCTTATCTTGTATATATCTCTAATAACTTGGAGTAAGTAAAATCATCTTGAATAGAATATTTTACTACCAAATTCATCCCTATGCCATTCAATTTAAATAAATACATCCAATTTAGCCTGACTAAGGTTTGGATACCATCATGCCAATGATTGTTTCATAAAAAATGGATTTTATTTGATATTAGAAATTTAACTTCTACCTATAGAATGTTGGTGAGTATTAAAATAATCTTATTTTTTTTCTTTTAGAAGTGATTTGTCACAAAAAGAGGATTTGTCACATCTCTTTTTAATAAAATTTCAATTGCCATCAAGGACTTAGTCACAATTCCAATAGAGTTGCTACCAGCTCTTTCAAAAGAGCACAATACTTGGATATTAATGAAGATGCATAGACATTTAAAATGAAAACATCTCCTCTAAGAACTCCTTCTAATCTAATCTACACAACTTTGCTATAGTAGGAGTTTTTCAAATCAACAATCTAATGGTGCATGTAGTGTCGAGGTAGAAAGAATTTGCTTTAAGAAAGCATTGGACTTTTGGCTATCACTAATTGCTCAATCAAGCCTCAAGATAAAAAAAATACTAAGTTTATATATAAATTTTTTTCTATAGAGGAAATTACATCAATATATAAGCCCTAAGTATCAAAGATCACCAAAAATATAATAAAAATATTATAAAATCATATATATTCTTAAAATAATTTTTTTCCAAACTTCAATAGTTCATATTTTAAAAATAAAATATCTAAAAAACTCCAAATTTTACACGAAGTATTGATGTATTTTTAACAACTACCACAAAAAATTTCAACTACAAATTTATGACAAATCTTGAGATATTGCCAAAATCCTAACGGTAGCTTCAAACCCTTGCTTACATACATCTGTGTATAAATTTCTTTATATCTCACAAAATAAGTATTCAAACACCATAAAATTTTGATATATAGCTCCTCAACCTAATAAAACACTTCTAAAAATTTTGAGCCAAAAATTCATTTGGAAATTCAAGATATAGCTACAACCATTACTATTAACAAAACGACTCTTTTACTGTCTTTGAATTACATATACTATCTTCAATGCTCTATAACTTCTTCATACAAACTCCAAATGCAAACATTCTTTCACAAGAAATGTAGATCTTAAAATCATCCTTTGGCCGCCTCTCCCAATTTCCAAAATCTATCATAAAATTCCTTGTATCTTCAAAATAGCAATAATATGTCTTAAAAAGATACTTTAACTTCAAATGATTATAACTTCATCACCTTAATTCCAAATCCTCTAAAATTTATACTTAAATTGTAGCCCAAATCTTAAACCTTACAATCCTTGCTTTTGATTCTCAAATGCCTCTTCTGAAGTTGCCAAAATCCTTGTTATAGTCGTAGATAGCTTACTAAATGCCTATTGGATATGGCCTTTGATCAATAGGGATAAAGATCTTTATTTTTAGCCTTCATCCATCCATACCTTACTTTCATCCCTCCAAATAAGCTTCTTAGATGTTTGGATCTTCATCTTTGAGTCCCAACCTTCTCCTTAAATTTTATACTAAATATTTAATCCTATATATTTTAAACACTATAATCAATATATGTAAACTCCAAAATAAATTTTCTTACATCAACTCTCTTTAAATTAACCTACTAACCACTCTAAAGTACATCAACACTTATAAATATATTATCTATTTTAATTAATTTTTACATACTATAAAAAATTACAATATGACAGCAAGAAGCAACCTACATATATATTCTATCTTTACTTGTTCAAATATTGTGGTAAATATGGCCATAGCCAATTGGTGCTTCCCTTCCAAAAAATCTAGCTTACAACCAAAATGTATCTACTAATTTCAGTAGTCGATTGCCTTGGTGGCGATGCTATTGAATATATAGCACATCAATGTAGTGTAAGAGTAGTTGGTGATAATTCTGGATGATGTCTAGCTTCTCGGGGTCATTAAATCCTTACAAATTATGTGTGAAGATGGTGATCCACATTTATGATGGTGGAGGGAGGGAGGGGGCTTGCAATGGTGCTTCCCCAAGGTGTTCTATGTCCATGGAGGAGCATGTTTCATTGACATCTAAGTGTGCAGAAATATCTTGTCTTGGGAATAATTGATGGTCTATGAGGTTCCTTGGCTATGGAGTGGGGAAGCCTCAATTTGAATCAAGGATATTCATGATTTTTAGCCATTGGAAGAACTGAGCTTGTACAAGTTTGGGAATTCCATTGGCTACTGCTGTTGGGGTCCTAGGGATGGAGTTGCTAGAGCTAGGGGTATAACACCTTGTAATGGATTGCAACTGGGACGCTATTTCATTTAAATCAATGTTGGGTATTTGGAGCTGATTAAGATGTTTTGTCGTAAGAGACATTTGACATAATTTATGAACTGTTGGAAGAAGCGACGGGGCCTCCGGGCCTAAGGACGTGATAATAATCAGATTCTCCGGAAGATGCAAGGCCATAGGGTCCGCACTAAGGATCAGCGTGAATTCTGCAACCTAGATTGGGCTTTATTCCAGAAGAAGGGCCCCTGGAATAAAGCTTCTCTAGTGACTAAGAGGTTTTTCCTCTACTACCATTGGCTGGATGAGAGGGAGAAGGCGTCTTCTGTAGAGTGTCAATAATATGAGGGGAGGGAGGTATTGTGAGCCGAGTGCTCTCTCGGCAACCACGGTTGTCCTCCCTTCCCTCGAATTCTTTGGACTGATGGTCGAGGGAGGTACAAGGATTCCGGATTGCTATGTTGTTGTTGTTGGGGTCCTCCTCTCGTGGCCCTCTTCCTGCGACTTACTTTCTCCCACCGGTTCCATTCATATTCGAGAGTGAGTCGTGATTCTCTATTACGGTAATGGTTCCTAGAGCGCTTGTTTCTTTTGCTTGGTATATTTGGGCTGTTTCGTTGGCCTCTTTCCAAAGACCTTGACGAGCCCACAAAGTTGGTCGGATTCTAATCCTTATCTAGGAGGGGGGAGGCAGAGGGGGTACGCCTCTGTGATTGCCTGTAGGTGGAGATAGAGGCTCTTGCATTGGAGTCCGAGCAGGATTCAAAGGCTGCGTAGTTGCCATTATTTCACTATACGTATCGATATTTTCTTTATGTGCTTTGGTATCCTTGCAGTCCTTGATGAGGTAATCGATGCTTAAATAGAAACAACATTTGATCGGTAGATTACAATAATTGATCGCGATCACCGAGGCAGCACCAATCAGATCGTTGGTGACCGAGAGCATGGTCCGCCATTTAACCTCAGCCTTTATGGCTACTCAAAACCTCTGTTCCGTCGAGCTCACATTTTGCATATCACTTCCCAGCAGAACGCCCAGTCCTCACACGATCTACAAAGCTACTTGCATGAATTCACCCGGAATTCCACGTAGAGTGATCTATGTTGGGACGCAAAGGCCCCTTAGTTGGCCAAAGTCGAAACCAGGTGTCTATGCTTGCAATATGCATGTGCCCCACCTTGATCTATGCGGGGTGAGCATAAGAAGTCTCTAAGTGGTGGTCGGATTCAAGCACAGAAGCTAGAAGAACCTCTGTCCCAGATCCCTTTCTAATACTACCGATTCATCAATCTGAACTTGTGGTAAAACATACGTGTGGTAAATGTGAAGGACCAGTGGAAAATTGGATCATAATGTTACTCCGGCACAATGGACCTTTGGTTCGCTTCGGAAAATCACAGTACAGACGTACTGGCGCCTCTGGAGCTTCATCGTACCCTCAAATCTCTCGCCACGACGAGATGATGTAATTACTGTCCCTGATATGATGTAGTTACTTAAGACGGCTCAAAATCGGCAACAAGGAGCATGCCAGTTCTAATAAAATTGAATATTTAATCAATTGAATATTGGAACAATTGTTTCCAGCACGTGCAAAAAGGTTTAATTTGGATTGTGCCGAACTTGTATTCTGACAATATGCACCTCGGGATATCCATCCGTGTCGAATCTAGGGCTTTGGGTTCTACAGTAGCAGTTTTTGCATGACTACAGGAGAGCATGTCTTTTAGAAGGGACACTGGCTGAATTCATGTCTCACACAACATGAGCATGAAACTATACGTGACTAACACACGTACAAGCATTCAATGGAATGTCACAAGTGTGTGCAATTTTTGCATCTGTTTGTATTGCTTACATGATAGAAGTTGTTTGGTAGCAGAAATTATACAATTTGTTATCTGCACACTGCTCCTCTTAATCTATCTAGAGTCTAACTAGTATTCGGTCCGGAAACATATTAACTCCAAAAGACATAAGTTTGGTGCCTACAGAATGTTCAACTAGCACAAGGTACGACAAAAGCCTCCTGGTTCCAACCCACTACAACCTGAAGGTAATCAAGCCTCAGAAATGACAACCTAAAAAAGAATTGTGAATGAATTAAGATCACCAATTTAGCGCCAGTACTGTGCCCAACGGTGGATTGTCTCCACCATTTGAGGAAACAGTGCACTAACGCTGTCATTTATCAATGACTGGAAGAACTGCACAGCCTCTTCGTCGTCCAAGTCCAGCCGGAATTTTTCTTGTAGCTGCACTTTTCAGAGTTCCCTCATGGAAATGAGAATCTTGAAATAAGCAATGCAAGTAAAAGATTGTAGCGACCATACACAGGCAAATAATATCAGCTATAACTTCAGTAAAGATTCGTGCTACACACCTTCAAAATTCCCTTCTCAGGATCAGAAGCAATGTCGGGGATGTTAGCTCCAGCCATTAGATAAAACAGATTCAGGATGAGATTACTGGATTTCCTGAGAATGTTGTAAGCCTCACAGCAGTAGGTCTTAAAGCGACTGTAGTGGGGACTGTCACATTACAAAAAGGCAATCGTGGTCAGAAACTACACAATCTCAAGTAGAATGCCATCTCTCAAAAGTGCGGTTACTAGCAAGAAAGCTCAGGATAATATTAACGTTTGACACGTTCGAACAAGCCATTTAAAGCAGAAAGACGTTAAGACACCATCGGAGGCGGAATACACCTTTCGGCACCGCCCATAGCTTCCACCATTTCTTTGCAAAGTTTCATAGGGGGTGGAAAGGGCTTGGGATCACGCCCCAATATGAAACCAAAATCGATATGAAATAGTCGCCCATCCTCACAGAGAAGTAGATTATCCAGATGTCTGCATCGCATTTAACAACAAATCTTACATCCTCAACACCTAGAGCATCTTCGTTATTAATGTGCTCGAGCGAGAGAGAGAGACGGGGTTGGCAGAACAGAAAATAGAAGGAAGAAAGAAAAGTGACACCATTCAAGGTAATGTTTTGAGTAAATTAATATTTCAAAGTGAAAATAATTCAATAACATCTTCATAGCAGAGTACCTGTCCCCAATCCCCAGTATGTACATAATAACGCAATAGCCCGCACAGCTTTTCACAAAAGTCTCCAAGCAAGCAGCTGTGATACCAAAAGGTCCTTCCGCATCCGCATGAAATTGCTGGAAAAAACTTACAATGGATTTGTGTTCTGCCAAAACCTGCAGCAGGGATATTGAAAGTCCATTACAACTGAGATACGCAACTCCTAGTACACAAAGCTTATAACAGAAATTTCTACTTGTTTCTTAGCTAACCTGTTAGTAACAAGATCATGTCAGATGCATCAAATAGAGCAATAATACAATTTGTTTGGTAATACAAATCTATCTATTTCATCAAAAACAGTTGCAGCTGCTCTTACTTGGGCAAGTGAAGTAGAGGGGACGAATTCCACCATTCCTTCATCTGCTCCAGTGGCCAGCACGCGATAGGGAGTAAGTTGTAAATCTAGATTTTCCAATTTTAAGAGTCGGTCCATCAAAGACACCATTTGAACGACCTGGTACAACACAACAATGAATGGAGGTTTAGGAATGGAGACACCACTTACAAAGAAGCATTAATTAGAAAGAATGATGCTTCACATAGGACATTAACGACACGTTGTTTAATCTTAAGTTCGGTTCTGCCTGACAGCATAAAAAAGCTGCTGGCAACTTATACTTCAGTATGCAAGTTTCAGTAATTGTAAACATACAGAAATAATCCAGAGTAAAATTGGAGACCTCATACCAGTTGATCTTGCCTCAGATCATCTCCCTTCTTGAAAATTAACTTACACTTTCCACCATCTCTTGTTTGGAAAGTGAGCCGCAGGGGGTGCAATGCACTCTTGAAGATTGAGGATTCCGATGGTATGATACCAGTAATCATCAAGCGAGGTTCAAGTGGTAAAGGGATGGGCTGCCACAATGCGAACCACTATGTTAAATGAACTTTTTAAATAAACGTTAACAAAGACACACAATCATAACAAGTTCAACATATGAGTACATACCATTCGCATAAATAGGACAGTACATACCTCATCAAAATAGGTCAGTTCACTAAGAAGGCCTGATAGTAGCTGCCGAAGTTTCTCAATTTTCTTTTGGGTCGAACCCCGAACATTCTTGACCTCTCGCATAATGGTACAAATTTGTGCCGTCAACTCTGTTTGACGGACCAAGCTTTGCCACATTTTCTCTCCACTCTCACCATCCTCCCTACCGTCATTTCTTGCCTGGCAAATGGTCAACAAATGATTACTTGGACAGTACTCGTAAGCACCAGAAATAAAGGGAGCGTTATGAAGTAGTCATTTACTGCATGCTATTACCAGTGGATAGGCTAATTAGTGTACCTTGGTCATACAATCTTCGAAAATCTCATATATTGAATAAAATCTTTTCGCATATGCAGGATCATGAAGCTCCACGGTAACGTACCACCGTAGAAAGCTTGCAAGTTCGAATTTCTGAACCGCTGTTCAGCCCAACATGAAATTCGTGAGCTCAAAGCATACTCATTACATAACAATTAAAAAAGATATGAATAACCCTCTACAGTATTATCTACCTGCAACATTCTGAGCAGAACTCAACTTCCACACATGTTCTGGAAGACTAAGGGTGAAAACAACGTTATAAAAAGTTAGTAATCACTACCTCTTTTGACAAGAAAGTAAGAAAGGCGTGATTTGTCAGAACGTTCAAAGCGTAAAGCTTGGACAAGTTGAAGTAAGTAACACTGCAGTTCTTCGTCTTCTGCTCCCTCGAGCACCGTCACGGCATGTCCTCGAACCTACACAACGCTTGCCGAGCATAAAAGCACAATCTAGAGAGTCTTTCATTCCACAGCTATTTTGAAGCTACGAATCAGGACAGCGTATATGTGGATAATAACGCGAGCACAGGATCAGAAGACTGAAACCCACAGGCAGGAGAATACCTCTTCGCTCTCGAAAACTGGAGAAAGAAGCTCCAAGGCATCTGCAATATCTATGGGAGCCCATCGTCTCATCAAATCCACTGCTTGTTTTGCTTCCTGGACCACGCAAATAGCACGACGTTTTAGGTTTCATGTATTTATTTACTTAATTTTTTGGAACGCGTTAACTAGAATTTGGTAAGTCTGTTGAGTCATTATCTAAAAACCTGTCTTTATTCACAACCCTCAAATGTCTCTTCTAAAAATTGGAGACTGACCTGTGCATCACTCCAATCAACACATCGTAAAAACTTGGTGAGAGCCCTCTTTTCGGACATCAAGTAAAACCTGAATCTCCAGAGAAGCTGTCTTTCATCTCCACTCAAACTTCGTGTTGGAGGATGTTTCAGAACCCGCTGTATTTCCCTGCATGGGTATATGGCAAATTAAAGTTTTAAAAGATAATCAACCTAAAGTATGAATGCACCCTTTAAAATGATCAAAAGAAAATCAACCATGTGGAAAGGCGCTGTACTTTTTCTCATTGGAGCTTGGCTTCAACTCGCGATCGATTACACCCCTTGTCACACTGCGAGCGAGCTTCAGTTGCTTGTTTTCAGAGGGATTCTGTCGACCCAATTCAGGGTCCCAAACTATTACAAGTTCATTGGAAGGAGAAATAGGTGATTGCATCAACAGATTTGCACCTAGCTCCTGCATGAACAAACGAGCTCCATTCAGAATCCATGGTCCAAAGAGGACACTTCAGCAGTTATCTTCACTAGAAGATAATCAAACCGACAGAAGAAAAACTTAAGGGTAAAATTAGACCTGAAATGCAACGGGATGCTCAAATGTACGTAAATCCACGGCTAGATGAAGTTGCTTATTCCCACTACGCTTGCTCTCTGCTTCTTTTATTTGTTCAACTGCTTTAAACGTGAGACGATCCAACCAGTCTATGTGTGCCACCACACCTCTCTCAAACTTGTTCATCAACTTTTCCAGGCGCTCCAGTTCGCCTCGCTCATGCTTGGGAACCTGAAAATCCTTTTATGATCAGCCACTAAAGACCATAACTCCAGTAAGCCACTACATCTGGATTTTACTAGGTCATGAACAATACCTTGCCAGGAGTACTGGTCGGTACATGGCCATCTGCCTGCCTGGCACGCCACAATCGCAACTTCTGCTTGCCCGTCTTCAACTGTTTCTTACTGCTAAACAGACTCAGAGTAGCACCACCTACAACTACTTCTTGCCTCGGTGACGAGACATCCCACACCTGTGCAAGCCAAACCCATTCTAAGAGCGTCAAGATTACCTCGTACATTATCGACATGCAAGACTAAAATTCAATTTTGGGTCCTGTCGAACAAGCAAATGTAAGTTTGAAGTCCATGAAGATACGATTGCAAACATGTGAGCCAAAAACCTTGAATATAGCAAACTGTGCTTGCAAAAATCAGTTCTATGTTTCTGTCACTAAACGGCTTTTTCATAAAAATGGATAAATTAATGCCACCTTTGCCGTCAAATACAGTAAGATGCACAGCACAGACTCCCGGATCTCAATGCCGTGGCACTCTCATTGAAACCAAAAATTCAAATGCCTTCAACTAACAGCACTCAAAAATACTACAAACCTGAGCTTTGTGCTTTGAATAAGCACAGGCTTTGTGGTAATTTGCACCACAAATTTCCACTTTATACTTCTGAACCATGCATCAATCATATCCCCAGAGTTGAAACCCTGCTAAATCCTAATCTTAAAGATTCTTCCTGATAGCCATTTCGTCTTTCTATCAGGTTAAGAAGCAATGAATAACCCACCGTCAGAGCAAGCTGGGCATTAGATGATAAGTCTCGATATTTGGCACTGAGCGTGACGAGTTCATTCCAACGCCATGGCTTTTCAATAGAAGACAACCTGCGGAAATCAAACATCAAATTGAATCTGGTGAACAGATGGTTCATTCACAATCTGTATCATCTGGCAGAGATGAGGTTCAACAACCCGCAAGCATCTAACCTAGCATGGGTTCCTCTGGTAGAGAATAATATGCAACCCTAGAGCAAGAATGAAAACAGGGAAGCTGTATCCATGGCAACAAGATAGGCTAACTTTAAGTGCAAGCATCCTGGACTCAGTAAGACTCAGAAAATTAAATTCGCGCTTCCGAAACCACAAGATTTAAAAAGTCAAATGTAAGACACTGATCTTCATCAATAGGCCTTCAGTTAAATTCCAGACTCTCAGCAGTAGAATCAAGAACAGTAACATGCCTGGTTCGTGTTGGAAGCCCAAACAGAACGCCATCAATGTAAAGCGCGCATTCCACGAAAAGTTCTGGAGTAGAACCTCCCGCGCCAATCAAGCCATCTAAAAACCACGGAATCCCACGACAATCTTAAAATCGGCTCCAAAATCCAAATTGACAATCGCCCAAAACAAACCACAATACTCAAAAAACTTCAAATTTCATTTTTTTTGCTCGAATTTTTCCACTCAACACTCACTTCCACAAAATTCCTAAAACCTCTTCACAAAAGCATCCAGAATTGCCATAAAATCCCAAACACAATGCTCAATTTCTGTACTTCAAACCCTCTCCAGACATAATCAACTCCCGATGGCAGCAATCAGCCCACCAATTCACAGCCAGGCCAAATCCACACGACAAAGACACTCCAGAACCACGCAAGAGATCCACCCACCTAGCGGGGGAGCGGCAGGCGGGTCTCCATCGAGAGCTTCGACGCGGAACGTGACGGGCAAGTTGATATCGCACGACAGGAAGAACCTGAATTCATTCCCATTCATCTCTCCACCCCCACTGTCTCCCGTCCCCGTCTTCTTCCTGACTGTCTGCCTGGATACGCCCTCAAATTGATCGCCCGCAAATTGTAACGAGACCTTACCAATGGTGGCTACCCTGTTCGTAACCGTGGCAACATCTTCGCCTCCGAGGGCTCCTTGTGGTGCGTGGGAATGCGTGGGAATGCGCCGGGTTTGGCGTCGGTGAGAAGCTGTTGTTGTTGATGTTGCTGTTGTCATGTGGGGTGATGGCACGCTTGGTCATCCGCACCAATACTCCACCATCAGCACCAGCAGCAGCGGCGTCGCTCAATCCCCTGATCCCACCGATCCTCCTCCTCGCGTGCACTTGTCCGACGTTCTCCTGCCGCGCCTCGCCCCAGCGGCCCAGTCTCCCCGCTACCGCGAAAGAAAACAGCGAAACTCTGAAAAAGAAAAACGATTTATCTTTAAGGATAGAGGGCTGCGGGGTTAAACTTACAGTGGCCGGTGGAGGTAGATTCCTTGAGTTAATATATCCCGGTAAAGCTGTGATGGTAATAGTGTTCACGTTGGTTGCAATCCTCTTTTAGGGTTCTTGCCCACCCCTCAACAACTTGCGCTTATACCTTATAGTTTCAACCTATATGTGTGTGTATATATATACAAGTGAATACACACACTCAATATTTATTATCCTATTAGATAAAGTAAAAAATAAAAATAAATATTTATTTTTGTTTGTTTATTATTCAAAAAATGGTTTGAACTTGAAACAAAGATATAAAAAATAATAAGAATACAAATCACTTATTTATTTTGTTTTATTTGAAAGTACATATTCTATTGTACATATCTATAAAAGATAATAATGCTTGCAAATAACATAAACAATCTATTCTATTGAATATTTATTTTTAAAAGAATAAAAAAGTATACGTAAAATTATTTTTATCAAAAAATAAATATAAATATTGATGAAATATTTTCACTTGTATATATATATATATATATATATAGAAAATTATTCTTAATTAATTTAAAATTAATTAAAAATTATTTTTTATTATTTTATATAATAAATAAATAAATATGCTTATATTCTGGAGATGATAAGCATACTGCTCAATATTATCTAAAGCAAAAACATTATAAAAAAATAAAAAGCATGGTTGATAAAAAAGACAATGTATTGGAAAACAAATTTTTCCAACTATAATAAAGATTGTGTGGCTAGAATCATGTACAATACCTAATAAAGGTCTTATTCTTTGATCAAATCCTTCATCTTGTTTTATAATAGATGTATATTTAGGATCCAAAAATCATAAAGTCTTTGTCTTATTAGATTCAAGAGCTTCAATTTGTTTCATAGATAAAGAATTTGTTAAAAAACAAGAAGTATTGTTAATTAAGAAAATTAAATCCGTATATATAGAAGTCATAAATAGTCATATTTTATCTTTTAGAGATGTTACACATGAATTTTTTCCTTTAGATATAGCAATTAAAGATCATAATACTATAGTAATATTTAATGTGATAAAATCTTCATTCAATCCAATTATTTTAGAATTATCATGGCTAAAAAAGTATAATCTTTAGATGAATTAAAATTCTTGAAACCTTCATTTTTCTTGTAGTTTAATCCAAAATTTTATAAGTCAAGTAGAAATCCATAAGACTAATAGATAAATACCATTATTAGTAGGTGCAAGAGCTTTCATGCATGTTGCAAAAGAAGGGTCAATTTTTGCTATATACACCATACCTATTATTGATATAAAAAAGATTTCAAGTAATATTTTAAGCCAATACTAAGATTATCAAGACGTTTATTTTAAAAGAAATACAAATATTCTTCTTAAACATCATCCTTATGATTATTCCATCAATCTTCAAGAAAGAACTCAACTACCATTCAAATTAATCTATAGCATATCACAGAATAGATTGACTGTACTTCAGAAGTACATTGATGAAAATTTGGCTAAAAATTTCATACGCCATTTTAAATCTCTTATAGAGACTTTTATCTTATTTGTGAAGAAAAAATATGGATCTTTATAGATGTGCATGACTATTAAGGACTTAATAAGATCACCATCAAGAATACATACTCTTGCCTTTGATTTCATGACTTCTTAATCAACTCAATTAAATAAAGATCTATACAAAAATAGATCTATGAAGAGTATACAACTTAATAGGTATTAAAAAAAGAAACAAATAGAAGCTTACTTTTTGAACTAGGTATGGATATTTTGAATATAATGTCATGCCTTTTGGACTCAAAAATGCAATAGTTCCTTGTCAACATCTCATGAATAACATTTCTTGTGAATTTCTTAATGATTTTGTTGTTTGTTATTTAGACAACATTCTAATCTACTCTAAGAACATAAAAAATATGAACTTCATATTTTTCGTATGTTAAAAAAATTTAGAGATGTAAGATTATATGCCAATATGAATAAGTATGTTTTTCATACTATTTAAGTTAATTTTGTAGAATATATCATTTTCAACAAAGGTCCAATAATGGATCCATAGTAGGTCCAATTTATCATAGATCGGAAGATTTTAAGAATAATAAAAGATGTGCAATGCTTTTTGAGCTTTGCCAATTACTACCAAATCTTCATTAAGAACTTTTTTGAAGTTGTAGTCTTACTTATATGTTTGACTTGTAAAGAAAAACTTGAGTGGATATTGATTTATATTGATAATTTGAATTTATGCAATACAATTAGGACTAATACTCTCACCTAGTCCATGCAATTGATGTCACATCTATGGTTCAAAATTTGACAATGCTTGATTGATTGGATGTGCTAAGTATGTATAAAATTTTATATTAATCTAATAGTGTAATTGAGAGATATCTAGGTTTTGGTATAAGAAGGCATTAGGAGTTGGTAGTTTGAAATTAGGTAGGATTTCTATGATATCTAAAGTTCTACTAGTCGGATTAAGGTAAAATTTGGCATGGTAGTAGAGGACTTCAAGATCAAGCTACATACCAATTTTAAGTTGAAGTTAATAATTGGAAGAAGAGAAATTACTACTGGAATATTTGCATTAACTTTCAAGTTGGCGGCCAAGTAATATTAATGTGATTTTTGGGCTTTTTCTCACAATTTATAAATTGGATTGGACTTAAATTTTTTTGAATATGTAAAAGATTTATAGTGGGATTTGTGTGAATTTTTTTGTACAAAGTGGATTGATAGATTAAAAGTTATAACTTGCTGAAATTCACTCACTAGAGTTAGAGCTTATAAGGAGAAATTAAAATTGCCTAATTATGAAAGTAGTAAGGCAATTGGAATTTGTCTATAGTTGAGATTACTAAGAAGAGTATTTTTGAGCACTTTATATTGGCTTTAAGTACTTTTGAATTGAAATTTGAATTACTTTGTATTTAGATGGTTGAAATCTATTAGGGTTTCTTGGATATTTCTAAAACACAACTTCACCTTCCACAGCTAGGTGCCTAGTGCATTTTCAAAAAATACAATACATATTATAAAAACATTCTTATCTTGCACTAAAAGAAAGACATGCAATTCTTTATCAACAAAAAATGGTTGTCTTGAAGCTTGAACAATTTCATCTTTGAGAAATAAAATCAACATTGATTGTTGATTCAATATTTTTCAAGAAAATTTAATAAATATTTTCTTTGATCTTCTTATTCATGTATCGAGACATGAACCTCAAAAAAAAAAAAAAAAAAAAAAAAAAAAAAAAATCCTCAATATAATTTTTTGTCATTCAAAAGAACTTAAGATTCATTCAAAAATGAAATAGTATTAAAGACAAGTCAAAGACAAGAAGATTAAAAAGACTTTAAATAAGATTAGAGACTAGAGAGACATTGAAAAGAATAAAGAAGGCTTTACTCTTGCCTCCAAAAATACTATCTAACTAGAAGCTATGTGGTGATATTTTGTAAAACCTCTAACACGTATTCACTTTGTTAGATACATGACTTAATTTGTAAAAAAATTTATTTATATGTGTGTCACATAATTAGCTTGTAGAATAAGCTACTAATATGTGTGTCACGTTGCTAACTTAATAACCAAGTTTTTAGTGTATTAATTAACTACAAACACGTGTGAAATCAAAAGAATATCTATGAAGCTTCAAGAAGATTTTTAGAAGATATTATGAAAATAATCTACTTTTATTTACTTCTATTTAATCATATAGGTAATTATTAGAATAAATATGCATGTTTGTAATATTATCCTTTCTTTTAGGAATGAATTCTATAAGGGGCGGTCATCATAAATTGAAGAAATCTAAGATGTGACAAATTGTGTTTGCCACATATTCTAATCTTTATTTTTTTTAAAATAATTGATAGATTATTTTAGCCATCAATAGTGCTCCATACCAAGGCAAGAAGATCACCTTATTATTTGATTATTATTGAGGCCTCTATAACTCCATTCAAATTAAATATTTGAAATATCTTTAGGAATTGTTCCTATCTTTAATAAAATCATCAAACATTAGGAGTTTCTTTCAAGGCCATAATATCAAATATGTTGTATCTTTCCATCTATTTAAAAAAAAGACATGTTATTCTTAAGGTTTTCTATTATAATTATGTCGTCTTGAAGGTTGTGACAATTGCAATGTCTCATTTAATAATTCAATAAACAAAAGCTCTTCAATTGAATCTGTTGATTGTTGATTCTCCATCTCTTTAGTGCTACAAATACATAGAAGCTACAAACAAAGGTTGAAGGTCAAATTCTATCTTTTTTATATCTTATTTCTTTTATAACAAAGATTTGTTATTCTTCATCTCAGTTTTAATCATCTTTCTATAGAATCTTAAAAAGGATTCTATAAAATCTTGATATAAATTGAGTCTTCATATCTGATATAATATCTGAGGTAATCTATGATAGTGATAGATGTTGTCAAGAAAAAATTTGATTATTTCTTCATGTATGATAGATTTTGTACGTGATACAAAATATATCATCTTAGTAAAATGATCTACTATCACAAACATAAAATCATATGAATCTAAGATTGAAAGATTTATCATAAAATCTATAGAAATAGAAGACCGTCATTATTCTCAGATAGGTAATGGCTAAAGAAGTCTATGAGGTCAATGATGAGGAGTTTTTGATCTTGAGCAAATATCACATGATTGTACAAAGTCTTTAATTTCTTTCCATATTTGAGGCCATCAAAAATCTCTTAATATTAGTTCCAAAGTCTTGTTGTATCCAAAATGTCCAACTGTTAGAAAGTCATGACAGGCTTGAAAAATACATAATCATGCTTTACTTTTTGAAATATATAATTATCCCTCAAAATAGAATACATTAT